TTTTGTGTAGAAAGTTTCAAATTCAGGATCTTCCGATGCCCGAATTTCTTGGGAAACAAAATCATAGGCACGTAAATATATATATATATATATATGTGTGTGTGTGTGTATGTATGTATGTATGTATGTATGTATGTATGTATGTATGTATGTATGTATGTATGTATGTATGTATGTATGTATGTATGTATGTATGCATGCATGCATGCATGCATGCATGCATGCATGCATGCATGCATGCATGCATGCATGCATGCATGCACTCCGTATATATATATATATATATATATATATATATTTATATATATTTATATATATATATATAGCCTAGTCTCTATTTGTCGAATATATATTTGCTTTATTTGTTGAAGTGGTGGATTGATCTGCTAAATTATGTAAAAAGAATTTCTTACAAATATATGTTTTAAATAAATTTTAAAACAGTATCAATAAATGAAGATTGAAGTCGCATTTTCATTAAATTTAGTCATTCCAGCAATTTAAGTACCTTATGAACTACATTTTTAGTTACCAACCAATTAACAAGCACATCAAATTAAGTTAGAGTTTTGTGATAGTCTAGGCATCTTGCTGATTACCCAACAAAGGGGCTGCTAAAGCGGTTTACATTTTCATTCCTCGATACTCCATTTTAGTTACGGTCTTATCTTTATGTCCATTGCCAATGGAGCTAAAAAGGCCATTATTAACAATGTTTTAGTTTTGGGCACACAATGAACTAAATCAAAATGGCATATTCCTTTGCTTTTACTTTCTATGAAGTTTTTTGCACTAAATGTAACAATGCATCTAGGGTCTAATGAAAACATCATCTCTGTTTTTTACTAGGGTATGAGTGTATGACTGCGAACATCTTGACCTCCCACACCCCCATGGAGTTTGAATTATACTAGGTTGTTGTTTACTAGTCCATTTTAAAGCATATTTATATAAACTACTTTCTCCGTCCAACAATAATGTTCCCGTTCATTATTCACATGGTCAAACTGTATTCACTTTGTTGGTGTATTTTCGTTACCCATTTGATAAAACAATATAGTCATGTCACCTCTAGTTTTGTAGATATTTTCGTGTAGTTTTTAAATACTCCCTACGTCTGTCTAGTTTGACGGTTTCGAGTCAAACTGGACAAACTTTGAGCTTTTGTTAAATAAAAACCGTAATGTATTTTAACATAAAAATGACTTTATTAGATTTATCGTATTGAGAACTTTCAAAATTGTATTTCATTATGCTTATATGCAATATAAATTAAGAGTAGTTGGAGTTCAAACTTTGTCCAGTTTGACTCAAAAAAGTCAAACTGGACAAATACATTGGGACGAAGGTCGTATATAATTTTTATTTTTAAATTTCATACGATTTTCATATAAAATGATTTGAAAATAACTTCAGTCAAATATCGTAACGCGCAATGAGAACATTATTCTTGGACGGAGGGAGTAAAATTTAATACTCGGGTAACATTCAGTGCTGATGTGTTTAGACTCATGCAGAAGCCACTTTGAGGGATGTCAGTAGTTATGAATTTATTCTCTTGCTATATCATCATTTGTCTTGCCCTATAATTAACGCAATTCTGAACTAGGGGATGGAGAGTATATCTGCAGGATGAGTATGGGACATCAAGTGAGGCTATGGACCACATGATTACTATGTAAGTGTTCTTTTGATGTATTATGACAACGTTGTATTCATAATTTTCAGTGGTCCTTAATCATACTCCTTTTTTGTCCCTAAAGCGGAGTTGGGTATAACTGTATTTGTGACTAACTTGTAAAAGATTGTTCCTTGATTCAGTCGACTTAAAAATACTCCGTACAAAGTTGCACCTTACTCAATTGATTTTCTATCAATGATAAGGATAAGAGAAATCTGATTAATATGAATAAGTGGATTCTAGGAAAAAACAGAAATATGATCATAACATTTAAAAATCTAGTCGCATTTTATTTTCAGGGGCCTCGGCAGATCGACTCGTCAAGAGAAATGTGATGCATATGCAGCCGTGGTACACTTCTAGTTCTATTTCTATATGTTGGTGCGAGTTTTGCCATACAGAGACAATATGATTAGCCCATGCTATTATGTTTTCATTTTCCTTTAATGGGCGATATGAAAAATTTTTTGTAGTTAGGTAAGTTAGCAAGTTGTTCAATCTTTATCTGTTCTTTCTGGTGAAACTGCTGCAGATGTTGCTTGAGAGATACTTTTCAATGTCCGGTGATGGAGTAGAACTTGTTGTACCCAAGCAACCGGAACTCCAAATCAAGTTGAGAAAAACCTCTTCCATTGGCACTGATGTTTTTCTGGATTGATTTCTCAATTGATGGAAACTTCAGCCTTCAGGATTATAATGTGTATATATGAGCAAGGGGACAAACAGGTAACTTATAACACTCTCTTTGTGTTCTGTTTTTTTCCTGTTGAACAGTACTCATACAATTTTGAGGACTGTTTTATTTTGTCTCAAATGTTTCTCTATGTATTGTGCTACTTTTATTTATTTATTTATTTATTTATTTATTTATTTATTTATTTATTTATTTATTTATTTATTTATTTATTTATTTATTTATTTATTTATTTATTTATTTATGTATTATTAAAACTAGACCTTTGACTATCCATGCCTTACTTTGCCTGCATTGGAGCAGCTATCAGCTAGTTGAGTGTGCTCAAGTTCATGGAGGTAGAGTTCACTTGGATTTTCATGTTAGTTTTCTTGTACACTTTCATTCTTGTTATTTGCCACCAAGAATAATACAACATTCCAAATATTGAGAGCTATGTTAGTTGAGTATGTTGTCAATTGAAATTCTATTGTGTGTTGCTCTATTGCTGAATATTGATTGACTTGTCTTATATTGAAATTTCGGTTGCGTTTGAATTTTGGGTTGTTTTTTTTTTTTGCTCCAAAATGGTGGTTAGAGATAGCAGTGACCAAGAAATTAGTAAGCATTGTATGCGACCAATGCCACCAAAGTATGTGTTACTATGGACAAAAGCCCCAAAAAGTACCCCTTATCTACACTATTTTCCAAGTATTCTAACTAGGCATTATAGAGAAATTGAACAATCAAATGTACATAATGTATAATAACAAAATATTTTGGCCATGGTTCATGATGTCTTATAGTTATACATAAAAAAGCCTCATTTGGCCATCTCACTACCAACTGTTTTAAGATGTGCACCAAATGATCTTGTTTGCTCGATATGTAATAAAAAAAATTATTGCGGAGTATTGTGTTTCGACTTTCGATAGCTATTTTTACTCTCAATTGTCCCAACCAATCTTGCATTTCTTTGCGTCCAATCCTATTAATCTAGTTCTTTTTTGTAGGAAACATCATGCCCAACTAATTACATACGTAGTATTTAATTCGGAGTTGTTTTAGTACTCGTATGATTTCTCTCTCGTATAGACAAATATAAACCACACCATTTTTATTTTCCTAATTCATATGTGCAGTGTGCTAGGAACACAAACTAAAAGGGAGACTAAAGACGCGTTTGTGAATAGCGTTACAGGACAGCATTTAGCGTTTTTAAAGTTAATCTAAAATTTTATTCAAAATACTAACGCTAATCGAAAACGTTATCCCCAAACGAGCCCTAAATTTTCCAACCAAAGTGAGTTTGTTACTTTGTTTGGCTTGATTTGAAGGGTTCGAAAATTACATCATTTGACAAGTCTTGTGTGTCTCATGATTGAAAAGAAAAGAAGCCATTTTGGGACGAGACTGACCTGAGGATTGCAAGATGTGCACCCACACAATGTTTCTAATCTTGTAGGGTGTAATATTTTCTAGAAATTCAACGTTTTTACAAATTTAAAATTTTTAAGATTAATTTTTTAAAAAAATATATAAATATATGTTTATTTGTCAAAGTTTTTTATTTTAAACAATTTTTTTTTTCCGAATACAGAGTATACCATGAAAAATTAGATATTGTAATAATTTGAAATCAAAACGATTCCACATAATAAAACAAAACACAGTGTAGAACCTAACACCACACAATCTAAAGATCTCTTCTATTAACTCCCATAAATCTGTTTGTTATTTTAAAAAATACTCTGTAGAAAACAGAAAATGACACTGAAGAAGGCCTTAAACTTTGGCACAAATCAAAACAAAATGTTACTCCATAACGTTTTACATAAATTAGCTGCAAAACACCCCCTTTAAGTTAGTCATTAGAACACATGTCCTTGAAGGGGAAGAGGATTAAACAGTCTCTCCATCTCCTTCACAGACAAAAATAATACTGATTAGAGCAAAACAAACACCGGTCGCCAATTCTTTTCTTACAATAGAGAACAACAACTAGTTTGACATTCATCCCGACGCGCATAATAATAAAATAAAATAAAAAAACTACGCAAATGTTTAAGTGATTAACCGCCGCGCATATGCGCACCCAACTCTCCGAATTGGTCATCTGCTTCCACGGTATCCTCAGATAAGCGGACTGCATCCAACTTCTGCTTCAAAACCTCAATTGCATTGAGCACCAACTGAGAAGCTTTGATTGCACCAGTGGATTCGACTGTGAATATGAAGCTGTCTTCCTTGGCATTGATTTCTATGAGCCCGTGTTTCTCCATGGAGGCTATTTTCTTGAGCACCTCGTCATCATATGTATATGCCTCCGCATCAACCACAACAATCTGCAAGTTGAATCTTGAAATTAAAGCTCGGGGTGCATTTGTATTTCCTGCTTTCAAGGATTATGCCTTTTTCTTGGGTAATAAACAAGTTCTGTTTTTTGCTTGTTTTGGGGTTTCTAAAAGAAGCATGTTTGGTGGGTCTGTTCTGATTTGGATGTATGATTTATATGAGGGATGCTCTCATCACGCGCCTGTCACGCACATATGATCTCATTGCCTGGATCAATTGACTTTGTTGACTGGATCATTATTTATTATGAAGTTACTGTTTTTATAGAACTAATTTTTTTAAATAAACAGTTTCAGTATTAGAAACATCTTATTGGACAAAAATGTACTCCGTAATAAAGAAACTTTCATTTGCACTAATTTTCAAAATTTAGTTTCTTATGTTTACAAAAACCATAAACAAAACTATTCATCATCATCACTATCAGCACCTTAATTCTAACTAGTTGGGGCGGGTGGCATTTAGTTTTAAACATACTACTCCTATACTCATTCAGATAGCATGGCTCACTAAAGAGTTAGATAAAATGCAGCAGTTGTAACAAGAATAAAAGTTTTTTAAGAAAAGAAGTAGCACACCTGTTGGGTAACGGGGTCAATGTCAAACACTTTGGTGGGGCTGCTTTCCACAATACTTCTTTTCTCCTCTAGTGTCAAAGTGTCCATCATGTCTTCATTGATATAGATATCAGGCTCATACATAAATGTAACAGTTGCAGCAGGTGACCACTTTGCATGATCCTTGCCAATTCCTTTTCGTGCAATTGCTCTGAGCCTTAGCTCTTGTCCACGGCGTAGCTTAACAATAATAATCCCCCTACAACAAATGGAGTTTTAATAACACACAGGAGATTTCTATACAGCTGGTGATTACTTCATCATGGTATATTGCATACAACGAAGTATAAACATATGAAAGCAAATAAGAAACGAATACGCATGCCAAGCTGGTCAGTACTACGAGTTCTAATTTATCCATGGGCAATAGCATCAGCTATGGTAATTAACACCTAGCATTTATATTTGAATCGATATTTTTCCTTATCAACAGATTCCTCACGGTTTGGAGTAACGCCTTGGATATGCATTTTATAAAGCTGGGGAGAGGTTAGAATATGATCTGGAAATATCTAGATAAGTGCTAAAAGTTGAATAAACCTTTTCCAGTACATAACTTGGTCTCTTATCTCGATGTTACAACTCCCGTGAACGTCAATCACTTGTTTCAAAACCACATCCTTTTAAATTTGGCTATATAACCCCTAAACTTCCATCTCAATTCCACTTGTTTTGGTACAAAATTAAGATACTCCCAAGCATGAATATGCATCTTGTGAACTAGAAGCAAGAGAGCATCTCCCTCCTACATTAACAATAGTCTTGTCATCTTCAAATCAACAAAACTCTAGCCCCATTAGTTATCCTGAATCTTCTGATCATATAACTTTGTTTTCAATGGCAGCTTAGGATACCATTGAGACCGCATATATGAAACTGATTTCAACTTTCAAGACTGTTTGACCTCCCTAACAGCTTGCTTCTGCACTTGAATTTTATCAACAAAAAAAGGGTTCTTTTCTACAATTTGTGTTTGAATCCATCAAATTTGAACAGATAATATTTTTGTCTATCGCAGACCTAATGCAATTGCGTGCTTGCACAAATGCAAAACCACAGCATACCACCAGAGATTGACACATTGAAGCTAGAAAGTAAATAGAACATTTATGAACGCACTAATTCCTAAGAGAGAAATAGAAGAAGAAGAAGAAGGTTTTACTTGGATTCGGAATTCCCAGATGCGGAATCAGAGTAATCAACGGGGACGACAGTGTGGTCGGAGCTCAGGAGGTCCTTACTGGTAACATCTAGGGTTTGGTCAGCGAGGCACTTGACGCGGAGGTAGAACTCGACGGAGCAATACTCGCACTGGCCGTCTCCGTCGCAGGCGTCGCAATCGCGGGAGAAGCGCATGCTCATGGCCCGCTCGCTGGTGAGGGGAATGAGGCCGAGGCGGTGGGCGAGGAACTCGTCGTTGAGGACGGTGGAGTTGCACTCGATCTCGACGAGGTCGATGGCGATGGTGGGAACCTCGGCGATCATCACGCGCCGGAGCGCGTTGGCGATGCTCGCGTCGGTCTCCCGGAGCTCGAACTTCATGTAGTCGTCCCTCACTTCCCGGATTTTGATCTTCGGGAATCTCTGGTACGATACTCCCTCCATTGTCGTCTTCTTCCTTTCTCCCGGCTGTCTCAGAGCTTAAACCCTCTTCCCCGACCCGGAGATCATATGATATAGTGTACAATTTGCACATGAGGATACGATTTTTGTGCTAATTCTGTATTAACCCCGAGATTGTGCGATCTTTACATCTCCATCCCTTTATTTTTTATATTGTAGCACTTCCTCCCCACACTTTCACAAAAAAGAAAGGAGGTGATAGAAAATCAAATATAGACCTCCTCAAATAATTTATTTAAAAAATAAAATAAAAAATTTTTATTTTATTAGTAACAATGTATATTTTAATTAGATTAATATTTTTCATGAATATTGAGTTTATAGAAAACTTCAGAATTTAAAAATTCGTAATCAGTATTAATAAAATTATCATGTCTTTGCGTGGGATCCTTTTAACATCCCACTTAGGAGATACAAACCACTTTAGCGTCATTTTAAATATCATTGGACTTTTAAGTAATCAAAGTGACACTTATAGTGGGTGTAAAAAAATCCCACTCAAACAAAAAGGATTGAAAAAAGTTTGGTGTACTCCAAATTTTGTACTACAACTTGCACACTAGTGTATCACAGACAAACACAAATAAACATTGTCAATGTACGCACAAACTATAGTTGTCTGTTTGAATACGTGATACAGTGGTGTGCAATGTTAGCACACCTCAAAAAGTGTACCATGCGAAAAAATGAAAAATAATGTTAGCAAATCTCAAGATGTTTGATCTTGGTGTCATCCATTGTCCAAATGTTGAAATGGATCATCTGCTGTGACTGACTAATTGTAACTACATGATGTAGCTGAGATACTTTTATTGAATGAGAGATATAAAAAATATGGTTTGGTTTACAAATAGTTCACAAAATAAAAACAAACTTCAATAAATTGCATACATTCCAAGTGTATTTGAATCTAACAATTCTGGCCACAAAGAATCCTTATTCAGAGTACAAAAGCATCACCACCAGTTCATCCAAATGCCAGAAGAGTGTGCAAGAAAAATCATATCTTTGACTGCTTGGCAATCTTGAACCACTCCGTGTGGAACGAACCCGGCATGTCGGTCCTCTCGTACGTGTGGGCCCCGAAGTAGTCCCGCTGAGCCTGCACCAGATTGGCGGGAAGCCTTTCCCGCCGGTAAGTGTCAAAGTAGGCCAGACTGGAGGACATGCCCGGGATGCTAATCCCCGAGCTGACCGCGAGGCAAACGACTCTCCGCCACGCGGGCTGCCGCTCGATCATCTCCCTGGCGAACTCCTCGTCCACTAGAAGGTTCCGGAGATCCGGGTTCCGGTCGTAGGCTTTCTTGATCCGGTCAAGAAACACCGCCCGGATGATGCACCCGCCCTTCCAGATCCTCGCCAGCTCCCCCAGCTTCAGACCCCACCCCTTCTCGGCGCTCTTCGCGCGGATCAGATTCATTCCTTGGGCATAGCTGCAGATCTTGGACGCGTAGAGCGCCTTGCGCACGTCGTCGACCAGCTGCTTCTTGTCGGCGATGACGTCGGCGGTGACATCAGCGATGCCGCCGGATCTGAATGTCTTGGCGGCCTCGACCCGCTCGTCCTTCAGCCCGCTGAGGAACCGCGAGTCCAAGGACGAGGCGATGGTCGGGGCGGCGACCGACAGCTCGGCGGCTTGCTGGACCGTCCACTTCCCGGTACCCTTCATGCCCGTTTTGTCCAGAACCTTATCCACCAAGTACCCGTCCGCCTTGTCGTCCTTGATTCCGAATATGTCAGCAGTTATTTCGACCAAGAAGCTCAGCAGCTCCCCTTTGTTCCAATCTGAGAAAACCTCATGCAGTTCGGCATTAGAAAGCTTTCCCACGGATTTCAAGACGTCGTAGGCTTCTGCAATCAATTGCATGTCGCCGTACTCAATCCCATTGTGAACCATCTTGACAAAGTTTCCGGAACCGCCCTTGCCGATGTAAGTCACACAAGGGCCACTGTCTGGAACTTGGGCTGCCACTTTGAGCAAGATGTCTTCAATGTGTTTGTAGGCTTCAAAGGAGCCGCCGGGCATTAGCGATGGGCCTTGCCGGGCCCCTTCTTCACCGCCGGAAACACCCATTCCAAGATAAAGCAAGCCCAGTTCCTCTGCTTCCCTGGCTCTCCTCTCTGTGTTCTCGTACCACTCATTGCCACCATCGATGATGCAGTCTCCTTTCTCCAGATAGGTTGAAAGGGTTTTGATGGTTTGGTCAACTGGCGAACCGGCCTTGACGAGGATGATGATGACACGAGGCTTCTGGATGGATTTGACAAAGGATTCGGGGTCGTGGAAACCGTAGAGAGGAAGATCGCCTTCTGCTTTGGCGCGTTCCACGGTCTCATCAACTTTGGAGGTTGATCTGTTGTAGACAGAGATAGGGAACCCTTTCTCGGCTATGTTCAGCGCAAGGTTTTGCCCCATTACAGCTAGGCCAGCAAGTCCAATTCGTGTTGGGGTCGCCGCCATGTTGCCTCACCTGTCATTTAGATCAAATGGGTTTTCAAATAAGAGGCCAAACAAAGTGGGGGGGGGGGAATAGGGTCCGGCTCTTATCACCCCAACATTGAGCGCCATAAAATGACACCGGCCATTTGGGGGCTCGACGGTGCTCCCTTGGGTCCACACGGCCCTGTGGGGTAGGGTCGGTTTCCAAAGGGTGTAGGACTGGGTTTAGGGCCCAACAGAGACCCGTAAAGAGAATATATGTTCTTTAAACCATGGTGTCAAAAAACCATGTTCTTTAGGGCCCAAAGGGTGTAAGTTTAAATGGAAACCATGGTGTCAAAAAAAACTTGAGAATATATGTTCTTTAAACCATTTAGATTGTTGTTGTTGTTGTTAGATTGAAGTATTATGTTATTCCTTTAAAAAAGAGAAGATCATATTATTACAAAAATGATTTCGTTATACTCGTCCATCTTACAAACAACTATCAAAAAATTATTTCAGTGCATTATTATGACATGTAATTTTTATGTAATCGATTGTTAAAGTTCAACTAGTTTGATTCTTAAAAGTCAAGCTGAACAAATACTATGCAATGGAAGATTGGAAGGACTATCTGATTAGAAAGAACATCTGTTAAAAAAAAGAAGAAAAAATTTCTGATTAAAAGCGAGTAGGTTTTTTTCAGATCCAAACACATCAAAGAGCAAAACCTCAAGATCAAAAAAGACTCAATCCAAACAAATTCAACAGTGAGCAGAGATCATTAAAAGGATCAAATTTACCATAGGCAATCAAAGAACACGATCACAGATGAAGAATCATCAGAACAAACAACAGGAAAACCTAGATTATCACCTCTAATTGCTCCCAGACAGGCCAAAACGAGCTCAGATCACAAAATCGAAGGAAAATTAACTAAACGCTGGATTTGGGTATGAACAATGAAGATCAAACTGCACATAAATACTGGGAAACTGGGGAAATTTCTTCAGTATGAACATAAAAAAAGAAGCCGCGTACAGAGAAATCGTACCTTGACTCACCTAATACGGAGTTGAAAATCTTCGGAGGAGAAGAGGGAAGAGAGCGCTTGGGGGGGCAGAGCTTATTTCCTGCTCCTAAAAATGGAGATTTGTTGTTGATAATGATCGGATCGTTCAAGGAAGAGAAGTCAAAATGGGACAGCTTCTTGGCAACTTAATATTGTTGAAAAAATGTGAGGACTCATACGGTTGCTGCACTTTATTATTTGCACTTGATGTGCCCACCTACCTTATACCTTTGGGAGTGTATTTGGATTTGTATTTTTATTGGTAATTTGGTATATCATGATTCAAGAGTTTTTGGGAGGTTTGGTAAAAATGGCTCTCTTATGGTATGTCTTTCCCCCATTTATTAATTTTCTTTTATATTGATATATTCTTCTTCTAAATTTATTACAACGGAGGCTCTTCAATTGCGAAGGAAAAAAAAGCCCCGTTGTAATGAACCGCCGCCCGCAATGGAGGAGGTGGAAAGATAAAAAAGAATTTTGGTGCAACGCAACAGACCGTCGCAATGGACGACTATCCCTCCAAAAGCATCGTGTTTCAATACTGTTGGAGCGCCGCTAGAGCTTCCAAAAGCACCGTGTTTCAATGTCGTCGATCGTCTTGCTATGGAAGCCCAGTGCGGCGAAAAAAACTGCCTCCGTTGCAAAAGCCCTAACAAATTCTAGTTAAAATCATTTTTTTCAATGTCTTATCTGATTTTAATTTTTGAGATAAATGGTTTGATTCTAATAAAAGTAATTGAATAACTAATAAGAAGAACAAATTGAAGGGAAGAGAAAAATGCTCTTAATTTTTCTTTCTTTAGTATTGTTAACGTTATTACGGAGTACAATATAATACCTCCTCTGATCTTCCCTAAAATATTGTTCACGTTTTGGATTACGATATTTGACCAAAATCATTTTTAATTTAATTTATATAAAAAAATTCAGGAATTATTAAATAAAGTTTGTATATTTAAAACTATTTCAAAAGTTAAAAACTAAATGGTGGTGACAAGTCTAATCTATTTTATCCATTGATCAATAAAATTAGGTAAATAAAGTGAATGCAATTTAACCATATAAATAATATTCCCTTTGTCACAAATTAAATTATAAATTTTGATTTATAATGTGACTAATTATTTTCAATTAATATTCTATGAAAGTTCGCGTGGTATTTTAAAATAAAATCTTATTATTTAAAAACTCATCTAAAGTTCTATAAAACAATGTGTGACATGATTATATTATTTTTTTAAAGAGTATCGAAAATGGATAATGAAAATTATTAAAATTTGATCATGTAAATACTGAACATGAAAATTATTAAAATTGAACATTATAATAAGCAAAGGGGCTCTCATGGCAATTGGGCCCCTTCGGTACCCCGTTTACAAAACTGACAATTCTTATCTGTCTAACCCCCTCATAAACCTCTACCCTAACCCGATCCAAACCACACCCCCACACCATACAATTGCACCCCCAAGTTTATTTAATTTTGGAGTCAAAATTTTTAATCTAAAGTCAGATAAACTTGAGGTGCAATTGAAAGGGGTAGGGTGTGATTCGAATCGGGTTAAGAGGTAGAAATTGTCAATTTTATAAACCACCGTAGGAATCACGGGTCATTCTATAACGTTCCTAACCAAAATTTTGAATTATGCCGTTCGATTACAAAGTTTGGCATAAATAGCTCTCTAATAATTAGTGAATCAATATGGTACTTTTTCCGAATATTTAAATCTTCGCTTTTTCTTATTCACTCTATTTCACACTAATAAGGACCTTAATTTGAAAATGTTAAAATTAAACACTACCATTAAATATTCTTATCAAAAAACTAAAACTAAACGCTGAAATTATTGCCAAGCAGACACCGAATCAGTTTAAAAGTTTTTTTAAACTTTAAAAGAAAGAGTTTAAAGACAAGAAGTTTGAGTGAAGATAGTTTGCCAATGGTTCCCAAAGAAAAAGTTTGAATGATGGCATTTTTTCAGGACAGGGAGTTTTATTCAAGAACTACAACAGCTAAGTAATCCTTTGACAGAGAGAACCATTTTGCTTTCAAGAGAAGAGAGATGTCCTACATAACACACACACATAGCCACAACCTATGAGTACAAACAACAACAACATGTTACACATATTCATATCTCCACTCACCCTAGAGTTTGGTTCTTGATGATGATGGTGATGGTGATGGTGATGCACACTAATCTTCCCATTATCTCCAGTTTTTACAAGATGGAAATGGAGATATATATGTGCTCATCCTCTTTATTATATATTCAGCTCAATTTTCACATATTCACCGATTTTTGGTTGGTTTTCGCCACACTTCCCTAGCCTGCAAGATGGGTATGATACACCTGTGAAAAAACAGCAACGACTATACTCTGTAATAGTGTACGATTAAAGAACGGTTGCACTCGTCTTTGACAAAAGGGCATACAATAGAAGTTCAGAACAAACAACAGGTAGTTCATAAACATGGCATGTACATTTAGAAACACAACAGTACCAGTTAGAAGAGTATTTGGTTAACACTATGTTTGGTTCAAGGAATATGGAGGGAAAAAGAAAAGAAATTGATTTTCTTTCATCTTCCTCACCAAAATAGGAGGAATTTGGTCTTTTTCCTCTTCATAGTACATTTTGCCTCCTCATTTTCATTTCCTTCCATTTTTCCTTTCATTTCCTCTTTAACCAAAGAAGAAAAATTGTTTTCCACTTCATCTTCTTTTCTTTTGTCCTTTCAAACTCCTTGAACCAAACATAGTGTAAGGGTTTCGGGAGGAAAGCCACACTACGCATGGTGTGGGATGAGCCGTTGTTGTGGTTGGACGCAATCTTAACCATCTCTGAGGGAGTAAAACTTCTTGGAGGTGCTATGTTAGGGTCCTCTTTTGGTGCAATTGATGAATTAGTTTTTTTCCCACTCCCCCAACCCCCGCCTTACATGCCATTGTTTTCGGGACCCTCTCAGAAAAAAACTATACTCCTTAGATAGAGTTGAGGTAAGGTCTCCGACTCTCCGTACACCTTATGCCCAAGTCACCCAGAGTCCCAGACTATACTTTGAGTGGGAGATACTGAATCTATTTGTTTGGTAATGCGACAAACTCATTGCTAAGTAAACTCATTACTCCCACACTCCCAAAAAGACTTTGCCGTTGCGGGTTACAATGATTGAATAAGATTATTTTCAGTGCAATTTTTATGAAAATTGGTCCAAATGGGAGTGTTTAAATTCATTTCAAATGAGGGTATGGTGAATTTCAGAACCACTACAACATGTTTTTCATACAAAACATTGATTAAAAGAAAACAATGTATCAAAAACAATGAAAACAGATCAATTCCATGAGCATATAAACAATCAACCAGAGAGAAAATTCTCAGTCAAACTGCAGGAACAAGGGGAAATACTCTCAAACACTCACAGTATACAGAGAGAGCCGAATCAAAATCATTAACTTGAAACATTTTTTTCCAGAAATTTGCAGAAAGAAATCGAAATTGCATATGCCAATTCCCAATAAAACATACGAATCGCACGAATTAACCATAAAATCAGATCACTACAGAGGAAGAGGAGAAGGAGAGCGATACCTAGATAAGATCCATATTTAGGCGAATCAGGAAAACTCCTTCACGTTCTGGAAGAAAGCGGCGGAGCAGAGAATCGAAGCGACGAAGGAGAAGATTCCCAGGCCAATAATGAGGGATAATCCGGCAACAACGAAGTCCATCAAGCATTGAAAGCTTATTATTCCCATCAACATCTTCGACGCTTATCTTTCCAGTCTCAAATCAGCGATTGGAAGCTCAATCTGAAAACTAGTGTTTCCCCTTATCTTTCTCCGGTTTTCTGTAATTATTACGGAGTAGGGAGTATCAGCTTTATTTAAACGGCGGTGGCGGTGGAGACTGGGAAGAAGAGCGTTGGCGGTACAGAATGCCTCTTCTAATGGTCAAAGTCCAACCAAAACAGTTACGGAGTATAATTTTGACAAATGAGAGAAATAAAGAAAAGTAATGCTAGATTCACACACGGAATGATCACAAACTTCACGAACTTACTATTTATGATTTAAATTCTCATTTTAAAATTATTTTAGGATATTTAATTTTGTTTATTGAAGTTCACAAATAGTAAATTTGTGAATTTTGTGAATAGTGATTTTGTGAATCAAACATTTCCCAATAAAGAATGTATCTCTATAATTAATTTTTAATTTTATTATTGGTATGATAGATAAAAATAAGATATGATTGGTAGATTATTAGTGAAAAGTATAATGTGATATATATGATAAAATATAGTAAGAGCATTGGAAATACCTTTGAAGCTCCGAGGTTTCAAAAATTTTCTCTCTGACACATCAGCTTTAACTTATCTCACATTTTCACTGGAAATAGGTGTAAAGCCTTCAAACCTTAATTTTCTTAATTTTTTATTACATATTTTATAAAATTAAATTAATAAAACTTCATTGACTAATTAAATTTAAACGACAATAATTATTAAATGAGAATAATTACCTTCAATAAAAAAGAACATTTAATTAAAAAAATTACATTAATTAAAAACTTAAAACAATTTATATTTAGCCTTGATCTCATTATGTCTTCTCGAAAGCAAATTATATTCGCTAGGTCGTTTGACTCGAGACCGGGATAAAGGAACATTAAAACTGAAGAGATTCATGCTAAAAAAAGATGAAAAGAATTGATTTTTTTTAAAATTTGAAGAACATAGAGGAAAAGATTTTGTGGGTTTTAGTTTTTTTTATTTGAAGAAGAAAGATTTTGTTTGTGAATTTTATATATTTTTAAAAATGAGTTAATTTATAGAAGATTTTTTAAAATTTGTAACGGCTTGTAGCCGTTTGAATGAGGAAATTTTGCTTCAAAACACCCGTTATAAGTTTGATGCAGTGCCAATAACGCCCGGATGAAGTCCCAGGGGGCAGTGTTTCACGCCCCTCAGACGTTAAAAGAGCAATGACGCCTTGGGGCGTTACTACCATTACCAGTGCCCTAACTTGAATTGGTTATTCAATAGAAACTGAGAGTATTTAAGCGAAGGATAACAAAAAGAAAAGAGAATGAGTTTTGCTGAACGAAAAGATTATTTCATTGTAATTTAAGTTCTTTGTCGTGGTGCTTAAAGCACTCGAAATACGTTTGATGGGCCTCAGTGTCACATAAATTTAAATCTCATTGAACTTACTTCACAGTTTCACTATAATGAGTTTAAAGCCCGGGACGTCAAATCTTTATTTTTTAAAATTTTTTATATACACTTTGTAAAAGTAAATTTACAAAATTTCATTAATTAATTAAATTTACACGACAATAATTAATTAAATAAAAAAATAATTCAATAAAAAAACATTAAATTGTAAAAAAAATTACATTAAAAAAATAAGGCATATTATATTTACAAAGAATTGTTGTCAGGTACCCCTAGTTTTGTAAAAAAATAATTTTAAAAAATAATAGTCCCACCAATTCAAATATAGACGTACTAAATATGTTTTGATCTCTCTAAATTCTGTGAGTTTTGTTTTAATTAGTTGATGATAAGTGCTCTAAAATTCTTTTAATGAGTTCATCCTTATAATTTTATACTTAACTCTTTTTTTTTTTTTTTTCCAAAGGAGGTTTCAGTATAAGTTTTATCGAGTATAAATGTTACTAAAAATAAAAAAAAAGTTATATTGTAGTTTCTTTGTCTTATAAAATTTCGAGTGGGGAAAAATCTACGTAATTACACTGTACCCTCTCTAAACTTTATGTTCCTACGATCCAATTGAATTGTTGTTTCATATAAAATGATTTGAAAATAACTTCAGTCAAACATCGTAACGCGTAACGAAAGGTTTATTTGTGGACGGATGGAGTATATATATGTGTGTGTGTGTGTGCGCGTGTATATATATATATATATACATATATATATATATATATATATATATATATATATATATATATATATATATATATATATTTCTTAAGATCTTTAATATTTAAATAATGTTTTAAATTAAATGTCTTAAGATCTTTTAAAATATGATGATGCGTTTGGATGCTAATCTAATAACAACTTGATCCGCTAGTTCATGCATTCGTATTACGCAGGTTGAGGTGTTACATATAGGGAAACTTCCGTAAATAGCACTAAAACATAATGACTTTCTCTAAATACTATAACATGTGTTTTTTCCCAATGTAACACTTTTAGTCATTATTCATTAGTCGATATTTAAGTAAATGTTCGCTATCACAGGATATTATGGACATTATAAAGTGCTATTTAAGTAATAAAACAGCTTAAATGTTACTCCCTCCGTCCCTGAGTGTTTGTCCACTTTCATTTTTGCATACCATCCAATGCACTTCTTTAATCCATTTTATCTTGTAATTTGTATATTAAAAAATTATAAAAATTACTTCCTCCGTTTGCAAAAAGACTTCCCATTTTGATTTGAGGAAAAAATAATGAAGTGTTAAATTATAGTTGATTTCCAATTTTACCCCCGATGTGATGGGTAAAAGTAAGATGTGATGGATTGATTATTAGAGAAAAAGTATGATGTGATAGGTAGGATATGAAAAAGTAATGGTAAAAGTGGAAGTGTTTTGTTGAAAGTGGAAAAAATAAAAGAGGAAGTGTTTTTGAGAACGGAGGGAGTATATATTAATAATCTATATGTTAAGACAAATCAAACAAGATCACACATGACTATTTTTAGGCTTACACATTGAGAGAATTTGATGAGTCAAAGTGCTTAAATGAACAGTTCCAAAAATCAAAAGTGGATAAACATTCAGGAACGGACCAAGTATTTAATTTAGAAAAATGACTTAAGTTTTAATTCATTTAATGCAAATATTTCTTACATATATCCTCAAAAAACTGATTTAGAGTTACTCACTACGTGTACAACAAATAAAAATTTACACTAACCACGGAATCAAGAAGTAATTAATGAGGGCGTCATACTATTTGCTTTTAGTGCACGCAGCCAAAAAAGGAAATTAGGGCTACTTCTTCGTACCCCGTATATATATGTGTCTGTGTGGCGTGACTGCCGTCAATACCTCAAAACAAATTTCATACGGAGTAATAAAGAAGAGAGAGAGAGAGAGAGAGAGAGAGATCAAGAAGATGACTGAGGATGGCCTGCGTTTCCGGCCAACTGACGCCGAACTGCTAAAGATGTTACGGCAGTTCACTGACGGGGACTACACCGGCGGCCTTGTGGAAAGACGTGATCTCTACGCGGATGAAGAGCCCTGGGAGATTTGCACCGGCCGCGGCACGGTGGCAGCCGAAGACAACACATGGTACTTCTTCACGGAGTTGAAGCGGAAAGCGGCCAGTAAGGGTCGTCCGGGGAAGAGGTTTATCCGGTCCGTGGGGAAGGGGACGTGGCACGGGACGAGTAAAGTTGAGACTATTTTCAACCCCGAGCGGAAACAGTCTCTCTTAGGGTTCAAGAGGAACTTCACCTACTGGGGGGGAGATGATGAGGAGCGCAAGGGAGAATTCGTCATGAATGAATTCTCTCTCCCGGAAGGCACCGCCAAATCCGACCGCAAAGATTTCGTCATATGCCGTTTGAAGAGGAAGAAGAGAGGACCAGTCCACCACGACAACGACGATGCCGCGGAGGACGCGCCAAGAATGATATTATTGTCACAAGAACAAGAAAACAACAACGATGATGCCGCGGAGGACGCACCAAGAATGATGTTATTGTCACACGACGAAGAAGAAGGAAACAACAACAATAATAATAAAGATGAGGACGTATCGTTTTCGTACGACGAGCTGTTCGGCGGAATAGAGGTCGAAGACATGACCGCCGCCCCCGGCCCCGGCCCCGCGTTATTACAACAAGATGCCGGAAGTAATGAGACATATCCCTATGCATGCACCACCAATAATACGGCGGCGGTGGTGGCGGCTCCTCTAAGTGGGGTTTCTGGTGATACAACATGGACGCTAGAGATGGTGGAAGATTTCTTGCTAAAAGACGACGACGATATCGTTGGCGGCGGGGACGCAGCGGCTAGTGCGGCGGCGATTCAAGAAGATAATAAAGCTTATGATGAATGGGTTTCGAGTATGTTGGATGACTTTGAAGTACAACACGGCGGCAGCGGCGGCGAGCACAACTCCTTTGAGTTCCCAGCTGGTGGTGGTTCGGTGGCACACCCGGCCATATGAGTTTTGGTCATAATTTTGATGAAATGTTTTTGTAATGGAATGATTTGTAATCTTTCCGGGTTTTCCAACGGTTCTTTCCCGGATCGTATCAAAAGAGTCGAACTGCATGTTACGCATGCTGTGCATGGGCCACGAGAGGAGGACACGACGCGCAAGAAAAGGGCAACGGGCCGGGCCAAGATGAAACGGGCTGAGGAAGCAAGGGTTCACGAGGAGGAGCGTGGGGAGCCACGCGAGCGACGGGCGAGAAGACCCCCGGGTTGGCACGGGGATTATGTTCTCAAGTGAATTAAGAGTTTTATATTTTAATTACATGTAATAGATTTTCTTAGGTGGACGTATTATAAGTCCCTTCAAGGGTTTTCTTTTCGGTTCTTTCCCTTAACGCCTTTTTTGAACCGATGGGGTAGTGTAGGATTAGGGTTTCCCCATAGCCATAAATGAGGCATGCATTTTCCTTGAATTGTTTTGGTATTTTATAATAAAAAACCCTAGTTCCCTATTGGAGTTTGAAACACTCGAAGCCCTTCCCGACTTTTTCGTATCACCGCATAGGGTTTTAGAGATCGAGTCTTTCAACATCACATTAATACAATTAAGTTGATCCAATCCAAATTAATTAATTATACTTATGGTCTTGATGTTTGTTTGCATGCATGCATCTTTGTTACCTTATAGATTTGATTCATTAAAGAAAGATACTTAAGCAGTTTATTACTACGTCAAAACCCTAAAAAAATGTTCTTAAAATGTTAATTATGATGTGGACATATAGTAGCTACTAGTAGTAGTGTAGTACTTGTACTTAATTAATTTGTACCACTTTGATTCAATTAGCTACGGAGCACTCCACTAATTTAATACTCGAACCTCTAATATATATTTAGTGTCTTAAAATTGGGAATGAAGAAATAAATAATTGGGTAGAGAAGTGATTCGCAATAATGATCTCATACTCCCTTCGTTCAATATCATTTGATTTCTTTTAAAATGTAATTTTGATCAAACTACTTTTTGCGTCTTATATCTTTCTTATTATTTTGATTTTTCTGCTCAATAATTTTAAATTTTGATCTCAAAAATATGTTAAAGCAACATGAAATTGTGATGTAAATTTAAAATCAATATAATAGATCTATTTTGAAATATAATTTTGAGACATACTCCATCCGCCTCAGAAAACTTTTCTCCTTTCGTTTTTCATCGATCCCCAAAAAAATTTCTCATTTCTATTAAAAAGTCACTTTTATCCCTACTAATTCTTAATCTACTTATCATATCTATTCACTATTAGTCTAGCCATCAAATCTTACTTTTATCCATCACATCAAAAAACGTTTTTAGAAACCCAATACTGAAATACACTCTCCTTAAACTCTTAAAAATCAAAATCTACCATATTTTTAGGAACAGAGGGAGTATGCTATATTCGTATACTCCGTATTCAAGGTTTACATATAATTAGAGATATTATGCCAAAAAATAAAAAAGATATGGGATGAAAAACATATCTTTTTTACGTAAATCATTTATTTATAGTCCAAATGTTTCTCGAAGCCATGAAAATCAAATTGTACAAAGTATTTAGGGATGGATGGAATATGCATGGCATGGTAAAGATTAACGTTTATATACATACACTATATAAATACTGTAACTGAGAGGTTGCAAACTGTTGCTGTAGTGTAGTGGTTCTCACGTTAGTCTTACACACTAAAGGTCCCCAGTTCGATCCTGGGCAGCAACATACTTTTTTTTGTTTTTTTTTGAGTGGGACATGAAGTTTTTACTTTTTTTTGTTTTTTTTTTTGAGTGGGACATGAAGTTTTTACTTTTTGTTGTTTTTTTTTGAGTGGGACATGAAGTTTTTTTTATTCCCTTTCATTATTCTGTTTATTCATCCTTCATCACTAAAGTTTTGTGACATTAGCAACATTCTCTTTTTTGTTTTTCTTTTTTTTGAGTGGGACATGAAGTTTTTTTTATTCCCTTTCATTATTTGTTTATTCATCCTTCATCACTAAAGTTTTGTGACATTAAGTGTCACAAAACTAGCTGTCATAATGTATTATTAGTAAAAAAATGTATAATGTATTATTAGTGAAAAATGTATAATGTATTATTAGTAAAAAATGTACTTTCTTCGACCCATATCTTTCTTTTCAGAGCATTATCTTAAGCAACTTCATGAAAAAAAATTATTGACATTTTTTCATTGCATATATGATAAAATAAAATATTTTTGTCACATTTTCTTTTATTGAACTTTTGATGTAGTTTTTAAATATGTAAATTTTATTTTTTTATTTTTATATCAATATTTAAATAAAATAAATTGAAAAAACTCGAAGGTTCTCTTCATTTGTGCAACGAGAAGAAAGATATGGGACAGAGGAAGGATTAGCTTAGTTTAATTTGACTATCAGAAAACTTAAGGAAAATGTTAAGAAGTTTGTAATAGAAATTTAGGTATGCATGGATATGCCAATGAAGAACTTGTTGATTCATTGCTTAAAGAATGTATAGCTAGCACTCAGATTGTCAAAATATATCTCAATAGTTACAAGTGAAATTTAATACAAACATTTGCATGAATTGTACATTGTGCCAATATTATTGTTGTTGTTGTTGTTGTTATTTTAATTATTATTATTATTATTATTGTTGTTGTTGTTGTTGTTATTGTTATTATTATTATTATTACTACTATTCCCTCATTCTTAAGACACGTTTTTAATTTAGGCAATATCTATGGTGGACATAAGGTCTACTATAAACTTACATATTAGCAAAAATAAGTATTTTTTACTATTTAAATATGCATATATATTATTTTAAATAAAAAATAAAAAAATTTAGAAATTAAATTTATGTACCGAAGTAAAATAATTTACTATTGAAATTAAAATTTATGTACCGAAATAAAATACTCCGGGTAATATACTAACCATTCGTGTACCATTGGCAAAATTTATCTAAGAAAATCATTAAATTGTATGATAATTTAGATATTTAATGCACTAAGAGAAATCTCTCAAAAATAAAAAAAATCACAGAATAATTTAGATGTTGAACTAGATTCAATTAAATTTTAATTGATATTTTTAAATCCTAACTTAATTATTCGACTTGACAAAATAAGTGTTCTCTGTTAGTACCTTTAAAAATAAGAGTTTACATAATTTTGATTTTTGGCAATATACATGATTCTGTATATCAAAATAAGTGTTCTCTATATCAATCAAAATAAGTGTAAATAAGTGTTCTCTATATCAATCAAAATCATGTATATGGTCAATTCAAATTACTTTAATTTTTGGCAATATACATGATTTTGATTGATATAGTAAATTTATTTTAACTCATATTTCAAGAATAAAATATGAAACATTTATTTTCAATATTTTACGTTTATTTAATCTTTTTCTCATAAAACATCTTTTGGTCCTCATATGCATGATGCTCATTTTGCAATTGCTCAAGGCCACGCTTAATAGGAATAATAGCACCCCATTTGAATGTTTTAAAAAAAATTCTCACCAAATTCTCTATATATGGCTTTGTTTTTTCACCCACATCATTATTCTGTTGTAAAACTTGTTAATAGAATTTCATAATGGAGGAATTGTTTTTACTCACCTCTCAAAAAATAGGATCCACATTTACATTATAAATGGTGTTACATTTAATGCGTAAAAAAAGAATTAATTAGGCTGAAAATTAGTTTTTTTTATGACATTGCTATGATTCTCTTAATGCGAGGTTATGTTATTAATTTCCAGTAAAATTAAATAATTCTATGAACAAATACTACACCGTATTAGAATTATTAGTATTTCAAAAACTAAGTAGCTCAGCAGCGAGATTCAAATTTGTAACCTCTACCTTAATCAACAATTCTTTTTTAAGATGATGAGAGGAAATGAGGGGGTGGGGAAAATTGAGAGAAAAGAAAATGGTGAAAAAAATGATGAGAAACAAGTGTTTGAATTGAAAGAAAATGATAAGAATTTTTTTTTTAAAAAGGAAAAGATAAGGAGAAAGGGTTTTCTCATCCTTGTTGATGAGAATTTTTTTTGCATGAATCCCACAAACATTTTTTCTTTCTCATCTAAGCATGAAAAATTGTGTTGAAAAATACGAGTATATTTTCTCAAATATTATGCCATCATACATACATTATATTAAGTTCTCCATTCAAAACTCATAGTGTTCAGATGAGATTCCTAGTATGCATAATTGAAATGAAAATTTAACTAGGATAATCTAGCTAGTGCTTGGTCAATTAATTAGTCATTAATTTATAACCAAAGTTTGTCTCATAATTAACCAATATAACGATGATGACGATGATCAGTTTAATTAATTTGTGGGACGAGCTAACCACAAAGAACTTAGAGCACGAAGCCTCGCCATGTAGTCGCTCATGGCGAGGAGCGCCCGAGCCGCTTGCCGCGTCGTCAAGATTCGGTGCAGTTGGTGCAACGTTTGCTGCCGCAGTAGATCCGCCTAACGGTTAATTAATTATCAAAATTCAAAACACGCATAAGTTTTAATTCAATCCGGATTAGTAAAAAAAAATTAGCAATCAAAATTATTAGGAAGTATAAAATTTAATCCTATGAAGAAAGGAAAGGATGATCCTAATAAGAAAGGAAAGGATGAACATGAAACTAATGAGAACATAAGGGATATATATCCCGGTATAGAGAGTTATAAGTTATTCTGTTCAATAATAGTTTAACATAGTACCATAGCCTCGATTCCGAGAGTTTTTGGATCGGAGAGAAAAAATCCGACCGCCGCCCATCATGGCAGCCCCGTCGGATCCTTTGGCGTCCTTACCCTCGGGAGTAAAACTTTTGCTTCGGAGTCTCCACAACTTAATCCCAGAAAAACTTACCGAAACAAATTATCCGGCATGGTCTCTCAATGTCCAGACAGCTCTTTCAGCTAATCTCCTCCTTGGATGGATTGATGGTCATGAAGCAGCCCCGGCGCCAACTATCTCCAAAAACGATAAAACCGTCCATAATCCTGAGTATACCTCCTGGACCATCGTTGACACACAGATCCGCGCCTGCCTCCTAGCGGTCATCAGCCCCTCCGTTCACAAACATGCTCGCGGCTTCACCACATCTGCTGCCCTCTGGGATGCTTTGGCCGCACGGTACAACTCCGTGTCCACCGCTCATGTTTATCAGCTTCGGGACAAACTCCATACTCTTCGTAAAGGTACCAAAACTATGACACAATACCTTGATGATGTGGCAACTATTCTCTCGGATCTCGATGCCTTGAAAGAAGAGATCCCTGAACGTGATGTGGTGAATGCTGTTATTCGTGGTCTTCCCACCGAATACTCATCCTTTAAGCAAAACATTCGCATGAACAATACCAACATTTCGTTAAATCAGCTTTCTGGATGGCTGATCTCCGAAGAAATAAACCTGGAGATGGAGAATAAACTCAGCCTCACCGAGTCTACCATCACCGAACCTCGCACA